CGGGTGCAAGCGCGGCTCCTTCTCCGCCTTTGGTCGCCTCCCTGTCCCTGGCAGGGTGTGGCCGCCGCCCTCCCCTTTCCTGGGCCGGCCCCCCCTCATTCCCGACCCCGGGTGTGTGCGGCCCCGCAAGGCCCGCGCGTGCGCGTTGCCGGCCGGGCCGTCGGGGGCTCGGATTCGCGGTCCAGCGGCCGCGAGCGTCAAGGGCGCGTGGAGGGTAGGAGCGTTCTGGAGCCTGCAGGGACGGTGGCGCACGGCCGCCGAGAGAGCCGGGGTAGCGAGCCTCCCCCGGGCCCTGGGCGGGTCGTGCGATAATAATCATAGCAGCAGCAGCCAGTTGTGTATCGCTTACTATATCCCAGGCTTTGTGCCAGTAGCTTTATATTTCTAAGTTTAAGTTTTCATAACAGCCCCGTGAGACAAGTACTGTAATTCTCCCTGTTTTACAGATGAGGAAACTGAGGCACAGAGAGGTGGTCATTTGCCAAAGGCCACACAGCTGGTAAGTGGCAGAGGCAGGATTAAAATCAGGGATTCTGATTCCAGAAACCCTCTTAACCTCTAGGCTATACGGAGGGAATGACTGGGTTCTGGTCCTGGCTGTAACTCACTGTGCTTCCATCAGTCTCAGTTTCCTTATCCCTTAGGTAAGAGCAGGTAGTGGGAGGATTGTCTTGAGGCTCCCCCCTCCCACCTCCCCCCAGTCTGGACCCTCATGGGTTTGTCACTGGTGTCTTCCAGCTCCTGCATCCTTTTGACACCCATATACATAGATGCACATGCGTGTTGGCACCATGGACCGAGGGCAGGTTGCTGGTCCCCAGGGTCCTCCTCAGACATGGCAGTCTGTTGTACTTGCCTGTGGACTTGTCTGCCTCCTGTACTGGAAAGTGAACTTGAAGAGAGGGTAACACTGAATAGTGTTACCAGCACCTCCCATCACTAGGTGCTGGGCATTCAATAAATTGTTTATAAAATAATGAATAAAGCATTTGAGGCCGGGTCCAGTGCTCAGCCCTGACTTTACAGAAATGCCGCAGATCTGGGCCCTACTGCCCTAAGGGGTCTTGAAGCATTGGAACCAGAGGATAAGGGTGGCCTTCACTGCTGTAATCTAGTGAGAGGCTTTGTGTAGACTCCCTTTGGAATTACTCTTCCAGGACAGCAATTCCCAGCTTTTCCCAGTGGGGAATGCTCTCTTCCCCTCCACACCTTTGGCTGTCCCTTTATTTTACTACTGCCTGGCAGTTTGGCCTTATCCTTTTTTTTTTTTTTTTTTTTTTGTTGTTGCGGTACGCGGGCCTCTCACTGGCCCAGTGCTCTTCCCAGGAGTCATGGGATCCATGAGATCCAACTTTACACTATACAGCAGGCAGAGTTAGTTGGCAAGCCTCAGGCTCAGAACAAATCACTCTCCCTTTGCGTATACCTATTCTAAATGAATTCCTCATATCTGTCAAGGATTTGTCTTACTTTCGTAAAATCAGAATAGCTTTTTTGTTTTGTTTTGTTTAGTTTTTGCGGTACGCGGGCCTCACACTGTTGTGGCCTCTTCCGTTGCGGAGCACAGGCTCCGGACGCGCAGGCTCAGCGGCCATGGCTCACAGGCCCAGCCGCTCCGCGGCATGTGGGATCCTCCCCGACCGGGGCACGAACCCGCGTCCCTTGCATCGGCAGGCGGACTCTCAACCACTGCGCCACCAGGGAAGCCCTGGCCTTATCCTTGAGTTGGTTAGGTAGGCCTGGCCCCTCTGCTTTGTAGGAGGGCAGGGCCCCTATGTAAATGTCCCCAGTGTAGTAAATATTCCAGAAATACTGGGTGGATTGTGGCAGATGCTGGTGTGGTTAACTGTCATAGGCTGACGTGGCTTGCTGAGGAGAGTGGCTACTAGCTTCCCTCCCTTATCGGTGTGATGGAGCCCAGGGGACTCGGGTTAGACAGAGGCGAGCTTTGCTAGCTCCAGAATGTGTGCAGTCTTTTAAAGTTGGATGGTTAGCTTTAAGCGCATAGCACTGTGATGAAAGGCAAAGGGATGACAGGGATGTCCACACCAGAACCCTCCCACGCTAATGATGATCAAGACATCTCTGCTCACAAGGTATCCAAGGGTCCACGCGGTGTGCTGGGCTTGGCCTGCCCTCCACTGTCCTGAGTCCGGTGAGAGTAGCTCAGACACCGTCATTCAGCAGGTGGCTATGAGATCTGCTGGTCTGTAGTTACTGGGCCTGGGGATACGAAGATAAGTAAGGCAGGTGTCCACCCCCACTGCATTTGCAGCCCTGCGTGGGAGAAGGAGCCTGTATCACTAATGTGATGTGTAAGGCACTCTAGTGTCAATGTGTTGAGGGGGCTGCAGATGGCCTAATTTGACCAGGTCAGTGGAGGCTTGCAGGAGGGGCTGGGGATCTGCTGTCATGGTGCTGGGAGGGAGTGCCAGGGACAAGATGGCAGAGCGCTTCGTGGAATGTCATCCTGAGGAGTTTCACCTTTGACTCCCAGGTAGTGTAGTACCTTGAAAGGTCTTTTGAAGAAAAGATGAGCTTTTGAAGTAGCGAAGAACTCGGGCCCTTCACAGCCTGATAAAGCAGCTCACGGGTCCTGTGTGGCCTTGGGCAAGTCACTGACATCCCTGATCCTTGATCTTTCACTTAACATCCCTGAACCTTGGTTTCCCCACCGGAGAGGACTCCCAGGAGTGTTGTTAGTATTAAATGAACATGTTACACTCCTGGCCTGGTGTGGTTATCTCCAGCCATGAAGCTCCACCTTCAGTCCTGATGTGAATGAAGGCCTACGGTTCATTCCCTTAAACGTCACTGAGGACTCAGTATGTGGCAGGCACTGTGCAGGTGCTGGGGACCCTGCCCTCGTGAAGCTTATGTTCTAGTAAGGGAGATAGGAAACAGAAAGAAGTACAGATTATATATGATATAATAATATCCAGAATATACCATAGAGGGTGCTGTGAGGAAGAATAGGCAGGATTCACAGACAGCGGGGTGAAGGGCCTGTTTTAGACAGAGTGGTCGGGGAAGACAGTTGAACGTTTGATGAGATGAGGTGGGTGATGTGGGAGGGAGTATTCCTGTGTGAGGGAACAGGGGTGCAAAGGCTCCCCTGTTAGGGGAGCGTCAGGGAGGCTAGCGTGGCTGGAGTGGAGTACGTTGGGGGAGTAGTAGAAGCCGAGGTCCGAGGGAGCCTTGTGGATCCTGATGTGAGCTTTGGATTCTGTGCTAAGTGTGATGTGAAACTCTAGGGTGGGTTTGAGTAGGGGCGTGAAGTGATCTGATTCGTGGCTGGAGAAAGAGCCTTCTGTCAAGAGGCAGGCATTTGAGCGGCGAGAGTGGAAGCTTGGGACCTGCTGCGTGGTGCTCCCCGTTGCCCAGGTGTGAGATCACAGAGGCTCGGTCAGAGTGACGGAAGAGGGGTGGTGAGAAGGACCGAGTTCTGGCTGTGTTTGGGGGAAGAGCTGATACGGTTTGCTGGCGGATCAAGTGTGAGGTGTGTGACAGAGGAAGAAGAGTCGAGGAGGACTACAAGGTTTTGGTTGGAACAACAGTGGTGCCATTTACTGAGGTGGGGAGCCCTGGAGGAGGTGTGCCCTGGGGGCAGGGAGAATCAAGAGTTTAATTTTGCCTAAACTACTATTTACTTAATTATTTAAAAAGTCAACTTGAAATCAAATTTTTCCTGAGCAATTATGTCTATGAAATCACAGGTCCTAGCCATATATTTTTCTTCTAATGTATGTTAAAATAAACACATAGCCTTAAAATAAAAACATCCTTTAGACCATCACCTACAACTGTCTCATATGCCGTCAGAATGTGGTCCAGCTGCTCCAGCACACGGTAAGCTCCACAATTATTAGTAGCCCCTTTAAAATGTATTAGTGCTATATTTGTGATGAAAACATAGAGAACCTTTGATGGAAACCCTAGTGAAAGAGGTGGGGGCCAGGAGTGGGGTCGGTCCCAGAGAAGCGAGGAAGGAAAAGGGGGTCATTCTGAAAGATAGAGATGGCAGGAGGCATTGGGGTGTTTTAGGCTTTTTGGAGAGAAGGAACTGCTGCCCCCACCCAGAGTCATCTTGCTGAGGGCATGATTCTCCCTTTCTGAGCTTCCTTTTTGCTTCTAAGGAATCCGGGTGCTTCCGCCACAAAAACACTCGGCCTTTTCATACTATAATTTGATATTCAGGCTGTGGCCCGAACTTGGAATCATGCTTTTGTCTATTTCTGCTGCCCAGGAGTTTGAGATGAGTCTCTGTGGGGACTTTTATGGACTACTTTTTTTTTTCAATTAATTAATTAATTTTATTTTTGGCTGTGTTGGGTCTTCGTTGCTGTGCTCAGGCTTTCTCTAGTTGCGGTGAGTGGGGGTTACTCTTCGTCGCGGTGCGCGGGCTTCTCATTGCAGTGCCTTGTTTTTTTGCGGAGCACGGGCTCTAGGCACGCGGGCTTCAGTAGTTGTGGCTCGCGGGCTCTGGAGCACAGGCTCAGTAGTTGTGGCGCACGGGCTTAGTTGCTCCATGGCATGTGGGATCTTCCCAGGCCAGGGCTCGAACCTTTGTCCCCTGCATTGGCACAACCACTGCGCCACAAGGGAAGCCCTTATGGACTATTTTTATGTGACATGGTCACGTGTACATGAGGTGCTAATGCTGAAATATATGTGTGCAAGGTGTGACCCCCTTAATGGGTTAAATACAATTGAATAACTAGAGAAATTTGTACCAAAATATGAATTTTGGAATCTCCCTCAAAAAAATCAAGTTAAAATTAGGCTTTTCGAAACAGATTCTTTCTTGTGAGAAATGAATTTGTAACCCATCAAAGAGTTAAGTGAGCCATACTCACTGTTGTATGTGTTTATGA